TCATGTTAAAATTCTTGGTAATTGTATTTATTTTGACTCGCAATCGTTCTTTTGCCTCTTTGAAATCTTTTCGTCGATTTTCGATTTCTGACTTAGCTGCGTAGGATTTTCGAAACTCTTCGTTACAAAAATTGTAACAAATTTGAACGAATTGGTTCCATCGTTCTATCATTGAACGAATTTGATTGGTTTGTTCAGCTATTTTCAATGTGAAGATTTGTGATAGAAATGGGATAAATACTTGTAGGAATTTAAAATGATTTATTTCGTAGACTTGATAAGTTTTCAAAATCGACAGAGCCTTTGCTGGATTTAACATAACGCAATGGTCGGGATTAAATTCTGGGAAGAGTTTTAAAATTTCATTTTTTACATCGTTGATTGATTTCTTTTGTTCATCCACTGTTTTATCTTCAATATGGGTAATAACGCAGAAGAGAGTTTGTCCGCTTGCCTGAAGTTTTTTCAACTGATCCAATGATTTTTGAAGACTGTCTGTTATACCACAATTTATCACAATTAGAAATACTAAGCATTTTTTCATGTGTTCAATCACAATATCTGTCAGTTCAGGACAGTCATTGAAGCCCGGTGTGTCATAAATGATAATACCACTCTGTAAGATTTCCATGGGCCATTCTAATTTGTATAAGCTCGATGAATGTTCTTGACGTTGAGCCGTCCGATTGGCAAGAAATTCCGACAATGCTGAGGAGAAAGTGGTTGATGGTAAACTGAAATCCAATTCGATTTTTTCAAATTCTGAGGAATTCTTGGATTTTTTAGAGAAGCGCTTAGTCGTTGAATGACGTATCTCGCAAATTCCTGATGTTGTTTTAATTGGGCCGGTTGGCAATAATGATTCTTCAAATAAGAGATTGATCATCGATGATTTACCTTTTTAGATGGAATATACAAGAAGTTGATATAACAATTATTAACATGAAATATCATTGCCTACCCGCACTTGTATCTCCAATAACCGATAGACTGCATTCCTTTTGAACTAAATTTGGTTTTATATGTTCCCAGTAGCGTTTTTCATCTTCATTTATTTCATCAGTTTTTCGCCGATTGCGTTTTTCAGCTTCTTTCCACCAATCTTTCGATAATTTGTTCATGTCCACGCAGAGTGATAGCAGCTGTTCAGCCCAAGACTGGTATCTTTCATGTCCCCTTTTCATATTGATAGCACTGAGTCGAAGTTCTGCTACTGTTTCAACATTCATTAAATGTTGTTGAGCGAATCCTTTTATCAAAACTTCTTCTTTATCCATCCAAAATTCAATATCAAATATATCTTGGCAAGCGTTTGTCAAAAGTTTAAATAGTTTTCCTTTTGACCAACCATCAAATGGATTACCACAATTCATCACTGCAACACAATAAAGAATGAATAACAATGTAACTAGAACCAGAACTAACAGTGTGAGAAAATTTTCAATTTCGATTTCCTTGCTTAAAAGATTACCATATCACATAAACGCTCTAAGGTCAAGCCACTCTATTTCATACGTACCCTGTGCTATCGATGGATTCGTTTCAAGTTCATGCAACGTACTGTTATCTGAATCAAATGAAACGTCTGACATGCATGTAGCTTGTGCAATAGTTGTATTTTGGAAACAACGTTGATTATTTGCATAAGTATCATCTTCATCTAATATCGGATTTTGATTCGTAGATGTCATCATCTAGAAATATAGGAAAATAATTAGCCCTTCGAGGACGGAGTTTTTTCGATGAAAAATTAGTTCTTCTTATAGAACTAAATGCTATTCAAAGAAACAATTTTTCTCGTCTGTTACGAAAAAGAGTCAGTTTAATCAAACTTGCACTTGTTTCATGCTACAGTAAGCATATCCTCATCGTTTTCCTTTGACAAGCCGGTATGGCTGAATGGTTAAGTTGTTTGACACATACCCACAAGATACTGCGTTCAAACCTCGGCTCCATCAGTCATAGAATGACCTTGGACAAGTCACTAACGGCTGTGTTGTCTCGAACCACCCATCCGATAACAAATTGTCTACGTTATTGACATACACTAAATGGTCCGTGTGACTAGTATGTGGTTAGTCAGTATGTATGGAGAGCTTAAGAAATTAAGCGAGAAGAACTCTGAGTCAGGCCGGCCTTCTGTCAAGAGCTACATTTAGTAACAGATGTAGGAAACTATCGGGCTTCTCGAAACTGTCCTCGGACAGCACCCTATATTGCAAGGTAGCCGAAAGGCGGGGTATTCTTCTTCTTCTTCTTCCTTTGACAAACAAATGAATTCTCTATGCGAAATATTTTTCCTACTATGAAAATATGCTGTACATAAGAGGGGACTGCTTCAATAAAATCCCTCCCATAATGGAAGCCCCTGAGGGCTTCTAAAATGGCGAGCGTCCAAAGCTTTCACAGGGGGCTTCTATTAGGATCGACGATTTTTTAAAGGTTTCAGATACGAAAATTTTTCAGAGGCGCTAAGGGATTTTCGGAGTTTTTCGAAGGATTGCGAAGAAGATTTTCAGATTTGTGTACTAATAGATAAGAATTTAACACATTTTTACCTTAAAATCTTGCAATTTGTAATGTTTTACTGCGAAAACACTAATATATGTTTTCAAAAATCTCTTTAAAAGTTTTTTTAAAATGAGGGAGCTTCTAATATGTTTTGCAGATCGACCTCTCTCGAAGGGGCTTTTAATATAGGAGAGCTTCTATTATGGGGACGAGTTTATCATAGAACATGTTTGAGAAAGATTTTTAACCTTGAAATCTGGTTGTTTTCTAACTTATCGTAAGTACCATGATGTGAAAGAAATGAATTAATCTGGCGATTTCTTAATGAAAAACTCCGCCAGTTATTCACGTTTTTCAACCTATTTCGGCTTATAAGCCGTAATAAAAACCCTACAGCACATTTTTGTCTTTTATAAAACGAATACTTACGTATGATGCAAAGCGAGTAAAAATAAAACCTTTATTCTTGATCACGAGTCATTTACATAGAGAAAGAAAAAGAGGACGTCATTTTCACAACAGAACAAAAAAGAGAAAAAATGCATCATTCGTTTTTTTATTGTATTTTTCCAACATAATACCCCGAAATGCTTGGATTATAATGTATGAGAAAAAGAAAAAAATATGGAAAGGGTAAGAATATCCAGCAGTGGACAGCTGGGTATGGGCGTGGGTGTGGGTGTGAGGTGTGGGTGTGGAGTGTGGGTGTGGGTGTGGGTGTGGGTGTGGGGTGTGAGTGTGGGTGTG